AACATATTGAGCAGTTTACAATAAATGGAAGCACATTATATTTTACAATAAAAAAAATAAGTATAATATACTAGTACTATACATGTATAGTTATATAAAATGTTCTTCTAAGGCCGGAAAATACTGGTCAAACTTAACACAGACATTGCCTCATCTCTACTGCTGACAAAGGCATGTCTTCATTAGGTTTTAAACCACATATGGAAATTGTATAGGTAATACGGCAGCTTTTTAGCATTACTGGTATATATGTGTATTCAAGCATTATTTCAGGCACCTGTGTAGAATCCATTAGTATCCAACACCCAGGATGGGATTTAAGCACACAGCTGTGAGGGGCAAATGATTTTATGCAAACCTTTCAGCCACTGAGGCCCCATAGCATGACTTCATCATGGTGAGTGCAAAATTCACCTTCACATTAACTGATGGAGACAGAACTATGTGCTTCTCTATACAATATATATGGAGTTAATGATACTATCAAGAGTAAAATCATTGGCCTTTTGTAAGCTGAGGATAATAGGCTTTGTGGCATGAATTATTGCACTTGCAAGTGATTTTCTATTCACTATGGTAGTCTCAATGTCCCAATTACATCATTTAAATTTTCTAAGGCATTTGCATAAAAAATTTGACCTGGTAACAGCCAGCTTTTGTAACAAATGTATCAATTAAAATTTAAAGCAGGCAGCGTTATGCACTTGGCCAAAAATACATTGTAATAATAAAATACTTTAAGTAAATAAAAATTTAAAACTGGTACTACACTTACATTTGCAACTACAATAACATACAGAAATAAAAAAAATCACACACTCTGCACAGGGAAAGTCAATCAACAAAAAATTGTAACAGAGAATTTGTATATGAAGCATAAAATTGTGCTATTTCAAAAGATTGAGATATTGATCTCAAGACTTTCAGTCCAAAATTATGATCAATGCAACATCTGCAAATGCAACAATAAATTTATTAAAGAAACAAAATGAAACACAAAATTTAAAAATATATTATGTTAAGCTTTGACCTCTAAGTGTGACCTTGACCTTGGAGGTAGGGCTGCAAGTGTTGTACTTGGCATATCATCTTATTATATTGACTATTTGTGCAAAGTTATTTCAAAATCCCTTGAACTATGAAGAAGTTCTAGATCGGACACAAAATATACCCTATAAAAGACTATGTTAATTTTTGACTTCTAAGTGGGACCTTGACCTTGGAGGTAGGGATGCAGGTGTTGCGCATTACACATTGTCGTATTATAGTGACTATTTGTGTCAAGTATTTTTAAAATGCTTTGAGTTTTGAAAAAGTTATTGAACGGACACAAAATATACCCTGTAACAGACTATGTTAATCTTTGACCTCCAAGTGTGACCTTGACCTTAGAGGTAGGTGACCGGTTTTTGGGCATGACACATCGTCTTGTTATTGCAAACAATTGTGGCAAGTATTTACACAATCCTTTCAAGGATAAGAAAGTTATGTACCGGACACGACATATACCCTCAAATAGAAAATGTTGACCTTGAATGAGCAAGTGCGACCTTGACCCTGGAGGTACGGGTCTGGTTGTTGCGCATGACACCTCGTCTTTTTTTAACAAATATTTGTGTTAAGTTATTTCAAATTCCTTTAATAAATGACAAAGTTATGGACCGGACACGAAAGTGTGACGGACGGACAGGTGGATGTCCGTCTGTCCGTCCGTACGTCCGCTTTTCTTCTCCGGGACATAACTTTGAAACAACAAGAGGTATCAATATGAAACTTTGTAGGTAGATAGATCTCATTGAGTAGGTGTGCAGTGCACGAGAACCATAACTCTGCCGTGCCTAATTTTAAAATTATTGCCCTTTGCTTATTTTTACACCTTAAAGTTTATGTGATACCACTATGATACTTTGTAGGTAGATAGATCTCATTGGTAAAAGTGTATTGTTAAAGAACCATAACGCTGTCTTGCTTAATTTTGGAGTTATTGCCCTTTGTTCATTTTGACACTTTGAACTTTGTCCCGGACATAACTCTAAAATTATAAGAGATATCAACATGAAACTTTGTAGGTAGATAGATCTCATTGGGAAAAAGTGCAGTGCTAAAGAACCATAACTCTGCCTTGCCATATTTTGAAGTTATTGCCCTTTGTTTATTTTTACTTTTTGACTTTTGTCCGGGACATAACTTTAAAACTATTAGAGATATCAACATGAAACTTTGTAGGTAGATATATCTTATCGGATAGAACTGTAATTCTAAAGAACCTAAACACAGCCTTGTCTAATTTTGGAGTTTTTGTCCTTTGTACATATTAATACTTTGAATTTTACCCGGGACGTAACTCTAAAACTATAAGAGATATCATCACAAAACTTTATAGATATATAGATCTCATTAAATAGAAATGCAGTGCCAAACAACATAACTCTGCCTTGCCTTATTTTGGAGTTTTTGCCCTTTGTTCATTTTTTTTATACTTTCCTGTGTCCAAAACATTCTCGGGGAGCATCACACGGTTCAACCGGTTCTTGTTTCTTTATATTTTGACTGAGAGAAAAAACAGTTCTTTACCACTAAAAGTAACAAATTCCGCGCATATAAAGCATTTATTTATAATCGAAATTTACTTCGAGCTGCACCCTTACTCAATTTTATTTGCGAAGTGTGTAATAGCTAAGTGATATATAGTGTTCGTTTCGTAAATATTCGGATCCATGAAAAATCGTTTAATGTTGCTATTAGTAACTTTTCAATTTAATGAATTTTATATTTCATTAGTAACACAGTGCTACTTGAGAAAATGATTTTTTTACTGATTTGTATTCAGCATAATTCAAGTCATCTTAAGGTGATTAATGACTGATCATAAGCAATAAAAGAAAAGCATGATTGTGTAAATAGAAACCAAGTACAAATGTGCAATAATAAATGGTTTGAAGTTTTTTTGATTTCTCACAATTTCTCATGTCAGTGAAGAAGTAGTAAGCACTAGCATTAAATTGCAAAACAGTCTTTTTTGTCTTTGATTTTCCAGGAATTTCATGATCAGTTATAGAAAAAATCATTCAGCGATAATTTAGTGGTTTAATTTAATGTTTTGTCAAGTATTCAATTTGTAGTACGTATTGTTAGGACAACCGTGTAATTGTAATTATTAGGGCACCTGATTGATTGATACTAAAAGAAAAAACAAGGCAACGGGCTGATTGTAGGCTTGAATCTATCAGTTAGTATATTACAAAGTATATAATGTTAAAAATTTAGTTTATAGTTGCAAATGACAGTAGGGAAAGTCAAAGCAAGTAACATACGTTTATATATGAAACTATCAACATATTTATAGTCTTGTCAAAATGTTTGAACAAATGTGTGGTATAAAAGAATCTTGTTACATAAGACTATCAACATGATTAGAATGCATGATATAAAGGACAATAACCTACTTAAATGACATGCAACTACCCAACATGATCAACACTATAAATATAATCAGTTAATCCTTAAACAGACTCTTGAAAAGTAATTGTGGATGTCTATGCCAACAATATAAAACCATGTCTGAAAGTGGACTAAAATCCCTTTGCTACCTCGCACATTTCTAGGAAATATAAGAATTTACTAATCTACATAAGATAAATGCTTATTTTTCACTTTCAGTAGAATAAAGTATTAACTAGTAGTGCGTTACAAAGACTAGCATTTTCTGGATCTGGAAGAAAATGAACAAATAATAAGATAAAGAAAAATGTAACCACTATTAAATAAAATTAATATAATAATATAAAATATAAAAAATACTTCTGATATTGTAAATTAAAATCTAAATTAAAGTATGTGATAAAGAAAACAAATAGAAATGTTCAATAATGTACGATGACGATTATAGTACGAATAATCGTCGTCAATTAAAAATTTGTATGAAAATGATGTAAAGATTTCATAAAATTAAAGTAAGATATTTGAAAATTCGACACTGTACAATTAGAGTCTTGTCTTCTCCTAGCTAACGAACTGTTTCTGATTATGTTGACACGCATATCCGAGGCCTGTCAAGAGGGTAACATTACCTAAATTGTTCACAGTTTAGTACCATGTGTCTAGATAGACACGTGACGTGTCTACGTGACGTCGATTTAATTCCATTTAAAGATCCTGTAACTCAATTTGTTTATGGGTTTTATATCATAAATATGATGCTCAAATGAAGAATATATTGTAAGTTCCAAAAAGCATTATTTGTAAAGATATTACATTTCATGTTTATTAAGGGAGGTAATTACAAATTGATTCTAGTTTTGCTACATTGATATATTTTTATTACCTGTCAGGGGACATCTCAAAAACTGTAGAATAGTTTAAGCTGAATGTATTACGTGTAGAATCTTTTCAGAACTGAACCATTTTTTTTTTAATTTTGTTTGGTCTGGTGACATTTGAGATTTTAGATTTATTCAATACTGGTCATGGTTCATAAGAATATATGGCATAAAATACAAAATTGTGAACATGTAACAACCGGAACACAGAACAATATACATAAAATATACATAAAAACAGGAGAATGAGAGACAATTATATTGTACCCTTAAAATAAAATAAAGATATGACTACATTATCAATAATAACCGGAATTTATGCTTCAATAACAAAATTTCTAGGAGACTAATGATACAACATTATACTTATATATTATTTGTATGTTGTAATTATTTCTTTACAAAATAAGGTTTTTTAAATGTGACTTGTTTTTACTATTCATAAGATCTTCAAATTTCAATGCATTAGTATTGCCATTAGGATACCTATAATTATATGGTTTAATAAAGTTACGTCTACTATTAACAAAAAGTGAACAATAAAAGAGATATTGAAATTCATCTCCCTGTTTGTTAAATTTCAAGAGTTTGAGCGGTCTTTGTAGTATTTATTGGTCTTTGTCGGTCTTTGTCAATCTTTGCAGTATTTGGTTTTCAATCTGGTTCCCAGAGCGCAGGGGACCAGTCTACTTGGTTTTTGGAAAAAATTGGATTGAAAACGAAAGTAAAATTATTTTTGTATGATATTTTAATCCATACCATGATCAAATAATCTCTGATTGTTATAATATTAACTCCTAAATTTTATAGCTACTCCTTGACACAGCAACATTTGTGAAATATTTTGGAACAAGGTTGGTATTCATGAAAACTCAAACACTTTTTTGTATTCGTCACCAAATTAATTCGTACTTAATAAATATATTATGCATAGAAGCAAGTAAATATCAATGTTCAGTCATATTATGGTGATTGTAAAACAATAACTCGTGGCAAATTAAACAGATTCATATGTAAAACAAAACACATAACATTACATTAAGTTGAAAATATGTATAGTTTTTCACATGAAAACGGACTGGCACCGTTACTAGGACACATGGAAGTTGTATCAAGAAAAACAATCAGAAACTTTATAAAATATAAGTCATATTTGCATAATTTGGTATCTTCAATCCGCCACGGATATGACTTTTCATTAGAATATGCAACGTATATAAGTTCCGCCAAGGATATGACTTTTAGAACATGCAACGAATATAACTTGTAACTTTTTCATTTATGGGCATAATTTAACGATTTTTTGCATGTATTATTATTTTAACTTTACAAATTATGTGACAAAAAATACCAAAAAATAAATAAAAAAATAAAGTCATATTCCGTATCTTCAATCCGCCACGGATATGATTTTATACAGAGCATGCAATATAATATATGTAACTTAAAAGTCATATTCGGTATCTTCTTTCCGCTACGAATATGACTTTTATTTAGAACATACAACGAATATAACATGTAACATTTTTATTTATGTATCAAATTTAACCATTTTTGGCACTTAATTTCATTTTATTATTATAAAATATCATATGAAGAAAAAAACTTTATGAACTATAACTTATAAGTCATATTCGGTATCTTCTGTCCTTCACGGGTCAAGGGAAATATTAACTAACACTGGATCACCTGCGTCATCCTTCACGGGTCAAGGGAAATATTAACTAACACTGGATCACCTGCGTCATCCTATCAATTATCGATCCATTATTAAACTTGAATGAAATTTTGAAATGATTAATCATTTGTTGTATCTCCGTCTTTTTGCAATTAAGTACGTTTGTTTAAAAGCAAAAATTAAGGGGAATCGGATACATTTGAAACCACATTGCTTAACTAAATTATCATTTGCAGTTGCTGCTACAATTTTGTTGATGTATAACAAATTTTGAAGGCAGAATGAAAGTTGCCCTTATGCTTAATTTAAGTTTGATTACAAACTTTTATAGATCTTATTTAGGATTTTTATGTTCCAAATAAATTTATCAAATCTTACTCTAAGTTGCTTAAAATAGGAGGCACTAGTCATATTATGATAGTTAATAAATTCGTAAGGTAACTTGAAATAGCTCAGTGAGATTTGGCAAATATTTTCTTGCAATTTTGTTGACATAGTCTTAGAAAAGCAAAATGCATGTGAATGCAAAATGGTACCTTCATAAAATGAGTTAGATAATCTGAAATAAGTCTTAGGAGATGCATTAAAGATCATGACAGTGCAGAATAAACAAATTGTAACATTTCTGTGTAATTTCCATGTGTGTTCCTGTGACGTCATCACACGTAACTTTTCTACTTTTAGAATTGCCCATGACTCTTGGTAAAAAAAGCATACATGTACATGACTACGCCCAATTATTTATGTAAATAATTTTTTTTCACTCAAATCGTTTTTAAAATATCTTACTTTCAATAACACAACAAAGGAAAGTTGTTTTTTTTAAAAATTTCATCCGTATATATGCTCTAAATGTAGTAAAGGTGTACTGTCTTCACCCCCTCGACATCGATGTCTACCTGGTGGATGTTGAAGGTAGAAAGGTTCGCCAGTGGAACTACCACCAGGCCTTATTTTACCTTCCAGATCTTTGTTAATTGTCAACCAATTTTCAATCTACGCAGAAATATTTTTTCTTTCGAAAAATGTATAATATTAGACCAGTTGGTATGACAAAAGATAGAATTTTAAAGCGAAAATGCACTTTTTGTCTAGGTCGGACATCACTTGACCGAGCCGAAAGAAGACAATTTTGAACATAAATCAATCTTATTCTCAATAACAAACTATAATATCATGCAGTGCATGCAAACAGTTGAAACAGAAAAGGCAGCTATAATACAATCGCTTACCGATGCATTTTTAGAAGTTATTTGCACTTACTTTTTAAATTTCCCTACATTACATGTGTACAAATCGTGACCCGGATATACCTGATGCGTACCGGTTTCGCTATAGTTAAGATTGAGCAAAGCTGGGTAACAGCGTGAATATCCGGGTCAGGATTTGTATACATGTACATGTTAAAACTTATAAAATCTTCTTTTAAAAAAAACTCTTAAAGCTAGAACTTAGATATTTAGCATAAAACATCTTCTAATGGGTGTATACTAAGTTTGTTCAAATAAAAGCCCTGAAGTTAAACTTGTCCCAGTTCAAGGTGGGGGGGGGGGGTGGATGTCATTGATTTACCTTGTATGTCTAAAGTAAAAACTTAAAAATCCCAAAGAGCTAGAGATTAGATATTTAGCATGAAACAATTTCTAGCGAGTGTCTACCAAGTTTGTTCAAATAAAAGCCTTGGGGTCAAAGTTGGCCCCAAGCCAGGGGGTCATTGATTTTCTTTATATATATATATATTATAAGTAAAAACTAATGTTATTACACATGCACTATTTCAGATACAAATTTATATGAACTATGTGATATCAGTAAAATTTTCAGATTCAGTGTCTATTCTAGGAGGGGGGATGGGGGGATTCACTCCTATTTTTGAGAATTCCCCCCTATTTTTTCAAAGGCAGGGGGAAAATTTTACATAGAGAAAGAAGAAAAAATCAACAAATGTAATAGATTCTCACTTTTCGATAAAAATCCCCCCCTGTTTTTCAAATCATAGAATAAACACTGCAGATTTTATATTTGCTTTTGTTTAAAGTTTACACAATATTACTTGTTACTTGCCATGGAGAGTTTCTATATATAGATGAGCGATTCTCCTTCACAATTTCTTTCATGATTAAATAAATGATTAACAATATCTACATTTTGAGAAAAATGTTTTTACAAACACTCCTTGCTGAATGGGAAAATATAGCACAGTAAATCAAAAGAGGGGAAAAGCTGAAAACTGCAAACCATAGCAATATATTTAAATTAAATTTCCATTTAAAATTTCGAAATTTCAGTAACCAGTTTTACTGCAGTTACAGAACTTTTTCTGTGTTAGGGGAAAACAGGATTCCATTTTAGGGGAAAATATCGCAATATTTGGTTCAAGGAAACAGCCTGTTCGCAAGGCTGTAAAAATATGTCACTGTAGACTGGTAAATTGGAAAACCTTATTGAAACTTATTTTCTGAAATTAAATAGCACTAAATTTGAGAAGGTTTGCATGTACTGTTACGCTTCAATTTGTAATCCTTGGAAGATCCTGAATGATTATGACCTAACACCTTCCTTTGCATTGAAAAATATCAAATGTATGACCTTTTCTTGACTAGTTAAAAACTATTATTGCTCTTTAAACAACATTTTTAAGTTAAATGTTTCAATCCATGGTATTAAATGGACATTTACTTGTTTGTAAATAACTTTATTTCATAATTTTGTTTTCTTAAATCAGATAGAAATATCATTCATTTCTAATTTTAGGTGACCAGTTTACAATGGAAGAATATTACGAATCAAATTGTGATGTATGACTGTTAAGAAGATGTGGTGGATATTATTTTATGTGTCTTAAACCTTAAGGAGAGAATTCCCAGTGCCTTTATCCTTAACAGTTAACACTGTTTTTTATTTATGACTACTACAAGAATTATGGTTACATTATAATACTATTATTTGTGATATGGATTAAATTCACTGAGGAAATAAACAATTCATAGGTATGGCTTCAGTGTCTTTGTCAAAAAAACTGTCTAACTCGAGATACAATAACTGGGTAAAGGCTAGTTTAGCAGTCTTGATAACAAAAGAAGGTATTGAACCTTTTGCTGCAGATGAAATTGAACAGTTCCAGCAGAAATGTTTAACAGATATATGTAACAACCAGGGTCTTCCATCTGGAACAATTTGTACAAATTGTTGCACAGAAAATGTAGTCAAGTGTCCTACAAACAAAATTTGTAACATTAAGCAAAGACAATGCAGTTATCATAAAGATTCTGCAACTACTTTTCTTCTTGCTGGTTGTCCCAACAAGATCTGTCACAATTTCAAAACTGAAATTCAGAATGCCCATAGATACAATGGCCCATCCTACAAAAACACTGATGCTACTCAGTGGTGCAGTAAATCCTGGGAGGTCGCTAAGTGCTTCATGCCCCCAGATGGGTATAAAGATGTTGTGTCTGCATCAGAAACAGATTTTAATGGAGTTAACAGTGTCATCATAAACTGCAAATGTTTTCAGACAAAAGTTACAGATGATCTTAGTAAGAATGGAAACATTTTTGACAAGGTAAGGCAAATTTTACTTGTTTTCTTTTTCTTCTTCTGTCATTTAAATCACCTTGCATAAAATGAAAAGTGAGCTATTAGGAAAATCATAACATATGATGTAGGCTGGTTGACATTTTCCCGAAAAATGACATACTGATTGTTAAAGTTAAATTATTCAAATTTGCAAAAATGGTTATATTACTTTGAAAGTAATGTACAGACTTGATATATATTTAGACAACATAATCTCATGTGTTAAATAGTTTAAGTATGACCTTGATACATAAAATGAGCAGGACAATCAAACTCTGAAGTATTTGAATTTAGCTTAAAATGCTATTCTTCATTTTTTCATGGACAAATAAATCATTCATACTTGGACAAAGCATCACTGACACAACATGCTAATTGAATAAATTATGACCTTTACGTTTAAACCTGACTGTCATGTGTCATTTTCAATTAAAATTAAAGCACTGATTTAATTATGAAGATAATTGCAGAACAAGGGATGACTAAATTTTACTGAGACTGCTCAAGTTTTACTATTTCCTTATGCGACCATTACTGGTGTTTCATAAACTATCCAGAGCAATTAATGATTTTGATAAAACATGTATAGTGAAAGATAATCACTGTGGTCCAGTGTGAGGGTGGTTGGTCAATTAAAAGAAAAGAGAACATTTGAAGATCGTTCAGCACAACATTATTGTTGTGAGTGCATGTTTTTTGGTTCTTTTAGTTCTTTACAATTTGGAGTTTTTCTAGTCAGGTGGTTCTCGTATTCCTCACTTGGATACTGTTGAATCATCCTTAGAATATGTTGCCTGCTTCTGATAACTTTGTCTCAGCTTATCTATGATAAGCAGACTTTGTAACCTCTGTTCCCCTTTCAAAATTCCATTTTATTCAGTAACACCCATTGTTGTCTTGCATTTTTTTTACTTTGGGACCATATGCTGTTATTCATGGAATCACATTGAAGATTTCATGATGACCACCATATAAACATATCTGCAATTTTTCAAAACTAAAAATGTTACCAGTTTATGTTAAATGTTTAATTCTTCTTAAGCCAGTGCTAGGGGACGTGGATGCCTGGACGGTAACTTGCACTACGCCCCTAATATAGGACCTGTATGTCTTGATTCTATATTCACAGGGTAGAGAGATTGGTAAAGCTGTTCGACACGCCCCTATTCTGGAAGTGGTGGATAATGATTTGAAGCAATATTTCATTGACCTTGATAACCTTCTGTCAGATACTGGACACTTGATTTCTGATAATAATGCAATGTTAGCACGGAAAAGATTATCTGAGGTTTGTAAAACTTACTTTTGTTTTCAGTAACATAGATAAGAACAAGTTAGAAGTCACTACATAATCAGTACAAAGTTTATGTTTCGTTTTGTGTATGATGAAATACGTGTACATGCACTTTCTGATTGAAGGTTGATTTATATAAGGATAATCTGATTTATAATATTTCTCACTTGCAAAATAATAATGTTTCTTTATAAACTGGCATGTGCAATAAAACATGTCAGTTAAAACACCTGACTTAAGTATGGAGAGGAATTATCGTCTTATATTTTCTGTTGAGTGAATAATTTTGTGTTGTTTCAACTAAGTGTTTCAGTAATTTAACTAGTTTTATCTTTAAAAAAGTGCATCATTCACATGCATCACTGTTAAGCATTATTCAAAACAGTGTCCCGAGATGTATTTTTCAAGCTTTAGTGTTTTCAGTAAAAACAGAAGATTGGGAAACTGTCATTTGAATATAGAGAGCGGACTTGTATATGATATGTTTCGAGGAGTTTGCTTATGTTTATACATTTTATCTTTGTGAAATTTCATTTTCCACCTTATTTCCTTTGATTTGACAATATTATGAAACAAATTATCTAAAAATAACATATTTAACCTTTAGAAAAGCTACTGTAATGATTCATATGCTTAATATTAAATAGTTTTTAAAATTTAGTCATGATAGATATATTTTTTCTTTGATTATAGCAACTTATGAATGTTAATTTACTTTGAAAATGTTTGAAGGAGACAATCACTTTCATATACAGAACATTCTTTTAAAAAACATAAACTTAAGTGAAATGAAACTTTGTCTTAAAATGCTAGATTATGATATAGGCTACCTGTGGGTGAATTTCAATTGCCAAATAAGAATAATAATATATTCTTAATTTTTCATTTTAGTTACAGAATGATACATTGCTCATTGGTAAAGATGATGTGCGGAAAGTGCTTGATGATGTTGCAAAGGTAGCACATGATAACATTAAGACACAAGGTGATGAATTTAAAAAAGAAGCAGAAAAAAGAAAACTGGAGCTTATAGAAACAACTCAAAAATCTTTAGAAACATTGAAAAATAAAGAAAAAATTACACTAGCTGAAATTGATAAGGTTTTAAAATCTGCTATTGATGAACTTGAGAAGCAAACAAAAGTTTCTCTCAAAAGAATAAAAAAGGCAACTGATAAAGGAGTGAAAAAACTGAAAACTGAAACTGAGCAAGGTGTAAGTTTGATACATGAAGGTACGTGCAAGATTTTAAAGGAATCTGAGGCTGCCGTTGACCAAGTCAAACAAGCAGCTAATGAAGAGTTGAAAAAAGTTTCAGCAGCAAATAAAGAGAAAGAAGAAGAAGAATATATAACAGCAAAGAATTGTGAGTATAAACATTTGTTTCACACCATACAAAGGTAAAAATATAACCAATTAAATTCCAGTGTGATCCCAATGTAATTCATAATCGGATCTGGTCAATTTAGACTCATTTTTTCAAGTCAGAAATCAACATGATACTGCATTCTATCTACATGTACCTTCTGGCTTCATTTTCTGTATCCATTTTGCATGTCAAAAACAAATTAATTTTGTACTTGGCGTTAAGACAAGTCATCTCTTTTACATATTTGAGACAATTTTTGAAAGTCTTGTAATCAGCTGTATTCATATTTTACTCTAATAAAGTAATAAGGGGGAGGGGTGGAGGCATAAAGAGTAAGCTGGTCGGTTGGCTGCAGGGCCGGCAAAATCTGATTTTGACTTACTTGTCCGTTTTTATGTGAAGCATTGTTTAACTTGTCTGTATGATTGTTTGAAAATCTTTACTTGTCCGTACAGGCTGTGGGACAACCTGGGTAATACAGACAATTGATTTTGCCGGCCCTGACTGGCCTGTCAACTTTATGGTCTCTGGATGATAACTCTCCATTGAGTCAATAGATTGTTCTCTTATTTTGATAAAACATGTAACATGAACTATTGGTTGAGTTTAAATTTTGCTGCAGATCATTAAGTTTTGACCTAGTAAAGGAGGCAGGTGGGTGTATGAAAGCTCTAGAGTACTTTTAGTGTAAAACAGAAACACTAGATTTGGATTTTTTCCCAAAATCGATGAAGTGATTTAAAAGGTTAATGACTGAGCACAAAGTTCTAAGAGGCAAGCATTTATGATTGCACAATGCTTTTCATCATTATCCACAACTGCTTTAAACAGCATACCTTTCTTAACCGTGTGGTAGATTTTGACGAAACTTCATCAGAATGGTCTTTTATTGGTCCTCTTTTTTTAATAGTTGCAGTCTGATGCACAAGTAGGTGACTGGTCACAGGAGCTTAAATTATTACACTTAAATTTATATTTAAATTTAAAACTGAAGTATTAAAAAATACAAATGAATTAAACTACAATGTAAAATATTTTAAGCTTAAAAAGCTTTGGCATGTATCATCATCTCGACAAATGTTTTATAAAATCATACTCCTGAGATAAAAAATGTCCCCACCCCAAGGACCTTCACATCTTAAAATAAAGACCTGGTCAACATGATTTTGAGCCTAGAAAACATATTTAAAGCATTTTGCTGTACTACGAGACGATGAACTAAAATATTTGGCATACAGCATTACTTAAATGACATGTTGTTATATTTTTCTGGTCCTTAGGGATCATTGATGCCAGCACTATTAAGTGTTGAGAATTGAGTACCGCTCAAGCCGGTGATAGGGGGCGTGAGGGATGTTGCACTAATTCATTATCCCTCATGTACAGACTCAATCAAAATCGAGTCTGCAATTTTCATGTTATTTTGTTGTGATTAATACTTCCGAGGGATCACTTTGTTTCCAGATTTTTTGTTGAAAAGTTTATAATCATGTCCCTTTGATTCATTTTGTTAACATAAAATTACAAAGTTAAATTATGTCCTAAAAACCTTCTCTAAAATTACAAACACAAGGCTCCTTTTGTTAATATACTTTGCTAAACATGTAGCCATGATATTTCATGTTGCCTTGCCATGTGGCCTCTACAAAAGTTATATAAATCTTGTCCTTCAGAGTTATAATGGCTCCTCCCTGGGGTCAGTTTGTTTCCATACACAGTATTAGTTGAGAAAAAAACTGACAGCTTTCGGACCGAGGGTTTCATCCGGTTTTCTCAGCAGTCCAGTTTTCTAAATGTCCCCTTCAGGATCATATGTACCAACCAATGACCTACCAGGATGCCTGTACATTTGCATTTTAAGATCATATTTATGTTGCTAAATGAAGAAATGATGAAATACAAAATAACATGTTTTATTTATTTTTGTCACATTATTGTGTCTAAATAAAATAAAAGTTTTGGATTTAAAACGTACAGCAGTAACCTCATAATGATAAAGTATGATTATATCCGCATATTGTTTACATTTGGGTAATGATTTAACAAACAAACTTTAAAAATGAACACGTCAAAGATCACATGTTATTTTATTTCTTAAAACAAAAACCTGTATATTTACAATATTACACATGTCTTTTATTAGTTTATCTTTGTCACTTGTAGACAGCTCTGGTCAAATTCTTTTCTTTTTTTTGGGGGGGGGGGATGAAATAGAACTTGGCGCCGATAAATGTCTTTCCTGTGTTATCTGTGTTTTTTTTATATATAATATACATTAAAGCAACGCAGTATAAAAATTCTCTATTTTATTATTTTATACTGATTTTACCCTAACAATTCCTTGTGCATTTTTGACATTAATATAAAAAACGGTAACATCTATGCTATACAATATTTATCAAACTGTGAAAAGAGACATAATAAACAAATCAGACAATCATTTGATCCATTACCACTCATGCAGTTAGCATTTTAGACACAACCACTTGACAAGGGACAAGTTTATTCACACCTTCGCTGTCCAGTCAGGGTAATTATTTATATAAATGACTTCATAGTCCCCTATCAACCGTCTTATTTTCGGTTTTTACAGATTCCGGTATTGTCGATGTTTAAAGCAATAGTTTAATGAAGGGAAAATCTTGGACTAATTTAATTGTTTGGTATTAAGAGAGTTCCGTTATTCTCAGCATCTGGTTTTCTCTACTTTCACAGTATCTATTAACCATGTCTTAAAAAAACCTCTGCTACATATACATATAGCATCACCTAGATGTCCTCTACAAAAGTAATGCTAAAACACGCTCCTTTGGGTAGATGTTGGCCCAGCCCTGGTATGGACTTATATAGGAAAACACGTTACAAGTGAACTAAAATGCCTACAGCTTAGATATTTAAATTTGAAATTACCTAGTGGGCCTCTTAAACAAATTGTTAATCACACCCCTGGTTTTAAAAATTACCTGTCCCGGGTCACTTGGATTCTTCTTGTATAGGGAAATGACAGTGAAAAATATCTTACATTGATACTACAATGTAGCACAGCTATAAAATGTTGTAAATTACTCTGTTTGAAATGACAACTTATGTATAATCCTTTCTAACCACATGATAATATATTTCTGTGTAACAAAGAATTGGGTCATGCTATTACAAAATTTAAAACAAGCTACTTCAGTTCTAATTATTTTCATATATTGATTTCCAGATTTGCAGTCTGATCTCATTGCATTCTACAGAGAAACTTGCAGTACAATAAACATCTGTCCTGGTTTAGATGAAGTTGATGCTTCTTTAAAAGATGTCTATATTCCGCCTTATCCTTTGTATTCAAAGGAAACAGACACATTGAAAAAAGTGGCTAAACAATCTACAGACAAGAAGGAAACACAAGAAGAAGGTACTCCTAATTATGTTAAGATGTTTCAGGAACAGGAGGAAACACCAGATGGAAAACCTGTGAATTCGCTACAAGAGATATTTTACAAACAATCAAAAGAGTGCAGTGATATATATTTGACAGCAGAACCTGGACTTGGTAAAACATCCTTTGTGAAGTGGCTTTCATTAAACTGGTGTCAGGCACGCGACCCTGTTAAAGAAGATGACCACTATTTTGACGAGGAAGAGGTAAATGAATTAGAAAAATTTGATTTTGTTTTTGTTATTTTTCTAAGGGAAATAAATGACAAGAATATGAGTGTAGATTCTATGATAAGAAATACTATATTCCCTGCTTTAGGTAGACAAAACAGCTATACAATTTCTATGATGGAGAGAGTGATGTGTGAAGAAAGATGTCTGATTGTTTTAGATGGTCTTGATGAATGGAATGTATCTGGTATACCTAAAAGGTCAATCCGACCGAGTTGTACATACATTACAACCTCAAGGCCATGGAAATATTGCTCAATTGCCCTCAATTCAAAACAAATTGATCAGCATGTATGTATTGAAAATGTCCAGAACTTTTGCAAGGATAAGCTCATTTTAAGCATAATGACCATGTTTAAGAAAAGACAACATTTGAGAAAAGATTTTTCAGACATCTCCAAAGCCTGTAAAAGATTTATTAAAGTACTAAAAGATAAAAAGGTTTCCCATTTTTATGGGACACCAGTCATTTTAGCACAGTTATTGTATTTATGGAATATGGAAAAAAGTATTGGAAAATCCCAGTTTGAGATTTACAGTGATGTGGTAGATGCTTTATTTAGCAGAGCTGAGGATAAAGTTGATCTTAGTAAATTAAAATACACAATATCTTCACAAATAAGTTACTTCAAATCATTACTTTGTGAGAAATACTATGATCTGATGATAAGACTGGGAAAATTGGCATTTAATATGTTATTTTTTGATGACAAGTTATCATCACTTGTGTTTGATGAAGAAGTTACTGAAAAATACCTCACAGTTGAGGACAGCAATATTCTAGCTTGTGAAATAGTAGACACCTGTTTAAAGACAGGTTTGCTGTCAAAACAACCAGTTTATGTAAAATCAAGAAGAAAGAAATATACTTATTCATTTCAACATAAAACTGTGCAAGAATACTTCGCTGCATTGTATATTCAGGAAGAGTATGGCACAAATCTTAAGAGTATGATAGTTAAAAAATGTAATAATGTTGAGACAATTCTAGAGATGGAAACTGTTTTCATGTTCCTGAGCGGAGTCAATCCAAGAATATCAGGTAGGGTATTTCAGTCATTACAGGGTACAATAAATGAAGATAAAACAATACAAGAGTATAGATGCAGGTTTTCATTTCTTGTGGATTTTAAAATTAGGGCAATTCAGAATATGAAAGTAAACTGTGCTATAGAGGGTAGAAACAATGGAAATGAAAAATTTCATCTATATCTAGAAGATGTCATCATTGATCAGTCAATTAAAGATGATGAATACTATGATGCATTGAAATTCCTTGTTCAACAGAATGCTTTGAACATGAAATCTTTGAACATGAAATCTGTAAATCTTTGGCACAATGAAAGAGCTAAAAATTTATGGAGAGATTTTGAAATACAAAACATGTCAAGTCTTTGTAGCTTAAATGTTGGTTTAAGTCAGTTTGATAAATGGACATACTCTCCTGATACATTCTCGTCTGATATAGTTAGACATATTTCTGAGTTAAATACAGAACGTCTTCAAACATTGTATGTTTCATCTGATTTACCTGAAACAGATGATTTGTTAGAGAAATTCCTATTGTTTGTCAAGAAGCAAATAAGTTTGAGGCAAATGTTCTTGAAATTCAGTACAAATAAGAAGCCTTCATTATTTGGAATGAATAGATATAAGTATTTTCCTCCAAAAAGTGTACCATTATTGCTGCTACAACTTAATGAACACTTACTGCAGCTTACACTGGAAAATGTACCTTTATCACAGCTACACTTAAATGAGCACTTACAGCAGCTAACATTAGAAAATGTACCTTTATCACAGCTACAGCTGAATGAACACTTACAGCAGCTAACACTAAAACATGTACCTTTATCAGAGCTACACTTAAATGAGCACTTACAGCAGCTAACATTAGAAAATGTACCTTTATCACAGCTACAGCTGAATGTACACTTACAGCACCTTACCCTGGAAAATGTACCTTTATCACAGCTACACTTAAATGAGCACTTACAGCAGCTAACATTAGAAAATGTACCTTTATCACAGCTACAGCTGAATGAACACTTACAGCAGCTAACACTAAAAAATGTACCTTTATCACAGCTACACTTAAATGAACACTTGCGGCACCTTACCTTGAAAAATGTACCTTTATCAAAGCTACACTTAAATGAACACTTGCGGCACCTTACCCTGAAAAATGTACCTTTATCACAGCTACACTTAAATGAACACTTGCGGCACCTTACTCTGAAAAATGTACCTTTATCACTGCTACAGCTGAATGAACACTTACAGCAGCTAACACTAAAACATGTACCTTTATCACAGCTACACTTAAATGAGCACTTACAGCAGCTAACATTAGAAAATGTACCTTTATCACAGCTACAGCTGAATGAACACTTACAGCACCTTACCCTGGAAAATGTACCTTTATCACAGCTACACTTAAATGAGCACTTACAGCAGCTAACATTAGAAAATGTACCTTTATCACAGCTACAGCTGAATGAACACTTACAGCAGCTAACACTAAAACATGTACCTTTATCACAGCTACACTTAAATGAGCACTTACAGCAGCTAACATTAGAAAATGAAAACATAAAGAAGAAAAAAGTTAATATACCTGCATCTCAGGAAAATGTTGAAAGAATCAACATTACAGGTTCTTTGAATTCTCTTTATGCATGTTTTATGGCATGGTTACCTGGTACTACAGTCACAGCAGTACTCAATTGTCTATCTGAAGAGTCAAAACTGAAGGAACTGTCATGCGAAAAAAATCTAGATTCTGTTGCATGTATTACTCTGTGTTCCACTCTACCAAAGCTCTGTCATGTACAAAAAATCACATTGGCATCAATGGATCTTTGTGAAAATTTCCTTGAACTTCCATGTACTGATGGTTTACAGTTGAACCTTGATGGAGTTACTCTGACAAATAAATCATTATACAAATTATTAAGTACCAAGCATACTCATAATGTAAAAAGTAGAATTCTGTTATGTTAATGTGAAAGATGATACTCTTGAATCTGAGCTACAGACATCAGAACAGGATGGTTCAATAACAACAGAGTCTTGTAGTTCCTAGTGGTAACAGAATTGACTTTGAATTTCAGATGTAGAAATTAGCAGCAAGTTATTTCTACAATTTATTAGATTAGTTAAGAAATGTTAAAAGCAAGAGTTGTTTTGCAGATAAAACCTAGTATTAAGTTCTTAGGTTATGGCAAATTTATGAATTACGGGGAGGGAATAGACTTTGCCAAATCTTTACCTTCTTTCATTGTTACAGAATATTCAAAATCTATATTTCCGTCAGTTGAAATTATTAAAAATGTTTAGGGTGCTAATGAGAATGATAAGATTTGATAATTGCCAATGTTTATGTATTGAGTGGTTTGAAAAATATCATGTTTTGAATTAAAAAAAAAAAACGGAATAAAACAGTTCTTGAACAAATATTGAATTGCAAATAAAAAATGGAAATAAAAGAATGTCAAATTTGAACAGAAGTGGGATAAATATTCTAAATCTATTAAAAATATTGAGTACATAGTTTTATTAATAGAAGAAATGATGGGTACTTGGCAAAGGAATCTTATGATAAAAAGACAGGGTCATTTCATGAAGTGAAATATGCACATTATAGAATCTGTTGCAATTACATGTATTTTCTTTTAACTATTCTTAATCAAGTAAGTTTTTGTTCAGTGTTTTAAAATCATTATAATTAACAAAGTAAGAACTTACCTTAGTATTACTGTTTCAAGATGGAAAACGCTATGTAATTGATAACATGAATATTTATATAGAGAAGAATACCGTTTGATAACATTAATATTTATATAGAGAAGAATACCGTTTATTCTCCGAACAAAAATGCCTCTGGGTGGGGTTGAGGGGGTTGGGCATTACATTTAAATCACTTTAAAGTATTGCAGTATTTGACGGGGTACTCTTATAAATTATTCCTTTGAAAAGGGAAAAAACATCAGGCCAAACTTTGAAAAAGTTTTCGTGATAAATACTAAAATGTGGCATGTCACTGAAATAAAGCAGGAAACTGGTCAAAGAAGAGAGTTTGAAAATAGGTAGGGTAGGTCTTCAAAACATTTTGAGTTTGAAACAAACCATTTATATTTGTAAAATTAGTTAGGTGAAAATGTTTTTATCAGTAGTTTTAGCCTATTTTTATTACTGTTCTTGCATATTTATCAAGGAGTTTCCTTGTTGAATATACTGGTATCTTTAATTTGGCACAAACTTAACTTTTTTTCAATTATTAAGGCATATAAACTCACTTTATTTCATTTATTTAGTTCCTTTTTGGGGTGCCCATTAGAATGATTATACCTAGGATGTCTATTGTTTATAGGGTTATCATTGAAATAACAACAGGGGGAGTTCTCTAAAGATGTCATATCTTATCTTCTTTTTTTACAAGTTGTACAAATTTACATTCTATATCTTAGACATGTTTCTGTCAACAATGGCTGTTGTTATTTACAGCGTGAAAAAGAGACCATTCAAGAATATAATATAAATAGAAATGCCTTTGAAAATATATTCATCCGTCAAGAATTTGGTTTAACCATTGCCTGCAACATTTTCAATTTTGTCGTGTTGGGCTTTCTTTAGGGATTCTTTAATTATTTATTTTAGTAGAGCTCTACTCATTAAAACAATTTTGAGTGATATGAAGAAATTGGTTTTCTTTCGAGTGTAGCTGTGGTAACTATACCAAGTAGATTTCTATGCTGATTTGATGACACACTTATTACTAAGACACTGACAACAACCAAAAAATTTGAGGATCAAAAAACATGAGTGTGAAAAAATTCTATTTTTAGCTCAAATGGAACAAATAAAACATTGCAAGTTTGTAACAGAAACAATCTTTGAGAAAATTAAACACTAACAACAGTTTCAGGGTTTATTAATTATAAATAGCATATATTTACCAATATGTGAACCAAAGACGGAAAGAAGAAAATTAAAAGGCAAAGCATATTAAAATTTAACTAAACCTATATAAAAAGTACTAGGCCACATATAACACAAAGTAATTGAGCACCCATATGACATTAAGTTTTACGATTCATAAGCCATAAAATTTTACCACACATATATTTTACAAGATAAGCACATATATAACATAAAGCATTACCACACATAAAGCAACTTTTTAAAAGGAATGAGATAATACATAAAATAATAAATTTATTTGCAAACAAAGTACAGACAATACAGATCTGTTAAAACCCTATTTAATATTATAAGTAATATTGTACTGCTGAGTGTGTTTGAAATATTGTACTGCTGAATGTGTCTGAAATATTGTACTGATGAGTGTGTCTGAAATATTGTACTGATGAGTGTGTCTGAAATATTGTACTGCTGAATTGTCTGAAATATTGTACTGATGAGTGTGTCTGAAATATTGTACTGCTGAATTGTCTGAAATATTGTACTGCTGAGTGTGTCTGAAATATTGTACTGCTGAATTGTCTGAAATATTGTACTGCTGAGTGTGTATGAAATATTGTACTGCTGAGTGTGTCTGAAATATTGTACTGCTGAGTGTGTCTGAAATAATGACTACTGAGTGTGTTTGAAATATTGTACTGCTGAGTGTGTCTGAAATATTGTACTGCTGAGTGTGTCTGAAATATTGTACTGCTGAGTGTGTTTGAAATATTGGTATAATGTGTGAGTCTAAAATATTGTTATAAGTGAGTCTAACATAATGATTGCAGTTTTCTGTTATAAAACAAAAAGAAAATATTATTTCAATTGATCTTATTTGTTGATGAAATATTGATAACATATCAGTGAGATATAGGTCATATCATACTGTTTTGTAATTATAGTATTTCTTATCATGACAGTGTTTATATATATATAGTTACTTCTATTTTTGACCTGTAAGTGCATTATAGTAATACTGTTGTCACTTGTTGTTTATAAACCGGTACCGTTGGCCTAGTGGTTAAGGCGTCCGCCTTCGGATCGGGAGGTCGAAGGTTCGAGCCCCACGGGGAGCGTTAATTGCAGGATGAATGTTTCTCGTGGGACTCTTTCCGAAATGGCTGCTTCGTGAGCCGCGAGGTAGTTAAAATGAATGGTTTACCGATTTCTATCCGCCTGGCGGCCTGGCATAGTGGTAGGAGTTTGGGGAGGTACACTGGTATGCCCAAGCAAAAGGTTTCTTTCATAAAGTCAGAAATGGCTGGCCCTTTCAGTAGGGGCGACACTATAATAAACAAGACCTTTACCTTTTATTTAAATTAGCACTCAAGTTGATAGAAATTTTTGTTTATGTATATATTTTTTGTAATATTTCCATTCTTATTTTTGATGACAAACTTATGAATTTGTCAGGTGTAAACTAGAATTAGTTTACACTCTGGTTACAAATTGAATCAACAATGTCATTGTTACCACACAGTTGGAAGAAAGGGCATTTACTTTTATTAGACACAAAAAAGGATAAATATGTTAATAGTGTTTATATGCAAGCAATCAAGTTTATTTGTTACTCATTGTTTACATTAATGTGTAATATTATTTCAAAATTGATAACTCAAAATGCCTTCAAGTTTTTTTTCATAATATAATCAAATTAGTTTACTATTTTTCATGAGTTTTTACCATGTTTATATCCAAGTCGATGTTTCTAAAGCAATAAAAATATATTCTTTCATAATCATGATGACAATTTATAGAAGGCAGTTAAATAAGATGTGGATTCTGTTTAGTCATAGGCAAACATAACTATATATATTGCTTGCAAGGTCACATATGATAGTTCACTACATTTTTATGGTGATTGTTCACTTCATTACTTAATTTTGATAGGTCACTACATTACCATTGTCATATTTCAGTACATTACAATTGTGATAGTTCACTACATTACTATTGTTATAAATCAGTACATTACTATTGTTATAGTTCACTACATAACTATTGTGATAGTTCACTACAATACTATTGTGATAGTTCACTACAATACTATTGTTATATGCCACTACATCTAGTTCACTACATGACTATTGTGATAGTTAACTACATTTCTATTGTGATTGCTCACTACGTAACTATTGTGATAGTTCACTACATTACTATTGTGATAGTTCACTACAATACTGTGATAGTTCACTACAATACTATTGTTATATGCCACTACATCTAGTTCACTACATGACTATTGTGATAGTTCACTACATTAATATTGTGATAGTTCACTACATTACTATTGTGATAGTTCACTACATAACTATTGTGATAGTTCACTACATTAATATTGTGATAGTTCACTACATTACTATTGTGATAGTTCACTACATTACAATTGTGATAGTTCACTACATTACTATTGTGATAGATTACTACATAACTATTGTGATAGTTCACTACATTACTATTGTGATAGTTCACTACATTACTCTTATGATAGTTCACTACATTACTCTTATGATAGTTCACTACATTACTATTGTGAAAGTTCACTACATTACTATTGTGATTGTTCACTACATAACAATTGTGATAGTGCACTACAATACTATTGTAGTAGTTCACTACATAACCATTGTGATAGTTCACTACATTACTATTGTGATAGTTCGCTACATAACTTATGATTGTGATAGTTCACTACATTACTATTGTGATAGTTCGCTACATAACTATTGTGATAGTTCGCTACATTACTATTGTGATAGTTCACTACATTACAATTGTGATAGTTCACTACATATCTATTGTGATAGTTCACTATATTACTATTGTGATAGTTCACTACATTACAATTGTGATAGTTCACTACATAACTATTGTGATAGTTCACTACATTACTATTGTGATAGTTCACTACATAACTATTATGATAGTTCACTATATAACTATTGTGATAGTTCACTACATAACTATTGTGATAGTTCACTACATTACTATTGTTGTAATTGGCAGTCTTTACTACATTAAGTTGGTTTGACAAACATATTGTGTGTATTTGTGTATGTTTTATATCTTTCACTACTATTACAATATTATACTGATTCTTTCTAGATATCTTTGTTTGGA